ATATATATATATATATATATTATGCTAACAAACTCAAAGAGTACAGCAAAGACATCCAAAAGCTCTTTGCAAGAAATTAAAATAGCACACTAGCAACAACAATCCTGTGTTCTGCTTGTGAAACATCAAAGAGTAAGGGGCAAACCAAGACATTTCTGTATTCCAAGGTCAAACAGCTTGCCAAAGCCAACGAGTATCCCTAGAAGACCGTCAAGGTTAAAGGAGAAGGAAATGGAAAACTTCCTTCCTACTTATCTCTTGACCCAATACGTATACGTAAGTATTTTTATGAGCTTTAATTTTCTAAGATAAAAGGAAAACAATTTTGTCTTTTCAAATAATAACAGAAACTGGACAGGCTTGGATGTACCAACCCTCCACAACACACAGCTGAACGCTCTACTTGGCCTTAAACAACAGAACAGTATCGGGCCTCTAATAATGCAGATGCAAAACCAAAAGGGCCTATATGAAATATTCTTAAACTATGTTTTTCATATGGAATAAATGTACTCCTTAAGCTGAAGACCAACAACAGCTGAAATACAATAGAAAGAATAATGAAGCTTTGCTAAGGTTTGAAGTTCTAATATTTTAAAAATTGTCTTTGTTTATTTAAGACTGTTCCAGTGTAGGCCCTCTGGTAAATTGAAAATTAACCTTTTTTACCCCTAAGTAGCACAAATGACTTACGATACAAAAACAAACAAAGCGGGGGTTAATTATAAATATGCAAGTATAAGTAAATTACAAAAATGAATCTTTAAAGATTTAGGTTCTACCACCTGCCTCCTAAGCACAAGGACCCAAGTTCAATCCCCAGTACAAAAACAAATTTTTTAATTCTTCACAAAATGATAAATCAAAATTGTTGCATGATAGTCAAACTCCAGAAGAACCCCACTGTCAGATATTTTTCTAGCCCGGTTGATCCCACCACTGAAAGTTCCACATGGTCCCTTCTCAACAATTCAATCCCCCTCCCCTTTTTTGAGACAGGGTCTTACTATGTAGTTGAGACTGACCTGGAACTCACTATGTAGCCCAGGCTGGTCTTGAACTCAGCGATTCTCCTGCCTCAGCCTCCCCAGTGCTGGGATTACAGGCATGCGCTACCACGCCCGGCTTCTAGTTTAGCTGTTTTACCTGAAGGAGGAAGATACAATGGCTTTGTGTGATCGCTTACACTCTTCTAAAGTCACCTTCTCAGACACATAATAGAAGCAAATGGCACTTACTGTTGGAACACTGAACACATCAAGGGGCTGACTAGTTTCATTTAGTAACAAACCCAGATCATTTCTCAGTAACACCCCCACCCCAGCATCTTTTGCCTCCGAAAGACCCCTCAGTTCAATTGCTTTAATGCCTATTTTAGGGATGCAAAGACAAGGGCACACCTCCCAGAGCTCTCCTGTGCTTCTCCTTTCTCACTCTCCTCACCCTGACAACCTCTTTCTTTCCATCTAGCTGCTTTGCTTGACCCAACTTCTGCCCAAGTCCATCTCACCACTTCACTAGGGCTCCTCTCTCAACTTCTGCACTCCAAGCCACAAACTTCTCAGTCTGTCCCTTTCTTATATCAGGGCAGGACTGTACTGCTACAAAAAAGTCCTATTGCTCATGGTCTCTGCTCTCACCTGGCCTTCACTGCTGCTAATCAGTACCTCACTCGACCTGACATTTACCCTTTTCTGAATGCCAGATGTCAACTGTTCCATGACTTTCACAGCAACTTGCCTCCATCACTGAGAATGTAAAAAATCAAATGCACTGATATTTACTAACTATTCTCAGATCAGAGGGGAAATTATTATCTCCTTCTCTGTATCCAATCTTATCCTCACTAGGTTCTTTTCAAAAAAGAAACCAAGGCTAATGTGATACATGCTTGCAGTACCAAGTGCTTAGGAGGCTGAGGTGAGAGATTACTTGAGCAACACAGGGAGATCTCATTTCATAAAGAAAGGAAAGGAAAAAGGAAGCCCCCAAAAAACATAACCCCAGTAAGAATGCCATACAATCAGTATCTGCTTATATAATAAATACAACTTAAATTGAGAGGAAAAGAACCTATGGATAAAAATACTGAAATAAAATTCCAATTATATGAGAGAACCAACCATTTCAACTCCTGAAGTTTTATCTTTACCAGTTTCTGCTAACAAGACAGCAGGATGGTGACGAGCCAGGGAAGGCAGTGTGGCTCTGTGGAGAGCACTGGCCTGCACGGCTAGGGCAGACCTCCAGCCCTTAGCTTCCCCTTCTCTCTGGCTCTGTGTCACCCCTATATACTGATAAGACTGGACCAAGTGACTTCTCAGATTATTTTCAGGCTCTGAAGTTTCATTTTTCTAAGATATCTACAAAATTATAAATGTAAGTCAAAGAAAAATAATGAGAAAAATATACAAGTGTATAGCCAAGTACTACTTTTAACTAGCTATAAGTCTCAAAGGTTAAGGGCCAGGGATTTAGCTCAGTGGCACTGTGCCTGAGACGCCTGAGTTTG